TCGATCCAAATTAATTTTAGCTTTCCTTTCGGGAAATATATGATATTCATCTTGTTTCATATTAGGAGGTGCATAACAATATAACAGTTTTCCATTGACATAGTCTTTTAGAATGTACCTTGCTGAACGAGGACAGTCTGGCTGTCCGTTTGCAGTCATAAAACCCCTATTGTCTAAAAAATATGAATATATAATATATAATATATATATATATATATATATATATATATATAATATCTAATTGATCTTACATCCATAAGCGTTCAAAACTTCTTCAGCCACAGGCGCCCTATCAGGATCCTCTCCTTCTAAAGGCTTTGCAATCATAATTCCATACGTATCTTCGATAATATGTCTTGGAATTAAACTTGCTACTAAATTTATAGGAGGCACGTGGTCTCTCATTTGATCTATTGGCAGTATTCCATTTATCACCATGTCGGCTTTTGTTAGAACAAAACTTGGCATAACTAGACTAAAAGGGAAATAAAACATTTATATATATATATATATATATATATATATTATGTATATTTTTGTATATATCTTTACCCCGGGCAGTCACACAGCATAATATCTTGATCAAGGTACAAAGTTTGAAAATGTTTAGTCTTCCCCGGTGTAGCCGATACTGAAACTTTCTTCGACAGCATCAAAGCATTAATAGTACTACTTTTGCCAACGTTGGGATAACCCACTAAGCCTATAGTGGTTATTCCTGACGTGTATTTTGGTCCGGTGTGAATTGTTTTGAAAAATTCTATTAACATTTCTCTTGTCAACAGTTCAGAAGAATTGAGAAATGAGTTTTTAGATTCTTCAATGCTTTCTGGTTCTTTTGTGGTTGATTCAGGGGTTTGAGATGGTTCTGTAGTTATTTTAGGAATGTCTGTGAGTATTTTGTTTAGTTTTTCTTCTGTAGATGTTACTGATTTTTTTAAGTCTTCGACTTGGGATTCTAAAGAACTGACTGTAGGTTCTGGTTCATTTAGGTCTGAAAAATAGAACTTGTTTTACATGTTTTACATTGTACTGTTTAATTTATAATTTCAGTTAATATTCTTAATTTTTTTGATAAATTTATTATTTCTATCTACCTATTTAATATATGTATCTATCTATTTATTTTTCTGTCCATTTGTTTTTGCATTTTTTTAATTGTTCATTCATTTAATATTATATTTGTTCATTCATTTAATATTATATTTATTCATTCATTTAATATTATATTTATTTATTTATGCATTTAATTTTCTATGTATTTATTTGTGAACTTATTTATTTTTTTATATTTTTATTTATTTATGCATTTTTCTATTTATTTATTTGAATTTCTGTCTATCTATATTTATTCAATTACTTATTCATTCATTCATTTATATATTTATATTATATTTATACTATTTATTTATATTTCTATTTATTATATTTATTTATTTACATCTCTTTCTAAATATCTATATTTGTTTATGCATTTGTTTATTTATTTTGTCATTCATTTATTTATTAATTACTTTTATGATTTTATTTACTTATTCATATTTATGTCTATTTGTTTATGGCTTTATTTATTTATTTTTCTAATCATTCATTTATGAATTTATTTATTTTCATTTCTATATCTCTAGTTATGCATTTATTAATATTTCTATTGCATTTATTTAGATTTTATTTATTTTTTTCTTTCCAACTTTTTATTTTTTATGCATTTATTTATTTATTTATAATGTCATTTATCTATGTATTTATTCATTATTAATTTATTTATTCATTCATTCATTTTCTTAATAATGTATTTATTCATTCATTCACTTAACTTATTCAGTATTGATTTATTTATTTATTTATTATTTGTTTATTTATTCATTCATTTATTTATTTATAATTTGTTCAGTCAATGAGATACTAAATATTTTATTTATTTCTTCATTAATTTCTCTAATTATTTATTAAACTATTTATTCATTCATTTACTTAATTTTTTTTATTATCTATTCAGTCTTGCTTTATTTTTTCAATTATTTATTTATTTATTTATTCAGTCAATGGTTTACTTAGTAATTTATTTATTTCTTCATTTAATTTCTCTAATTATTTAGTAATTTATTTATTTATTCATCCATTCATTTCCTTAATAATTTATTTATTTTTCTAATTTCTTTATTTATTCATTCATTCACTTAATAAATTATTATTTTTTCAATCTAATCAATCTTGCTTTAAATTATTCAAAATATTTATTTATATTCATTTATTATTTATTCAGTTAATCAATTAATTATTAATTTATTCATTCATTTACTTATTTGAACATTTATTTATTAATCCATTTATTATATATACATTTAATTATTTATTTATGAATACATTTCAGCATTTTTATTAGGAATAATTCATCATTCATTCATTCATTTATTAATCATTTCATTCATCATTTATTTATTAATTCATTTATCTATCTATTTATTTATTCATTCATTCATTTAATTATTTATTCAGCTATTTATTTATTTATTTACTCCTCCAATCATTCATTTATTTATGCTATTATTTATTTACTCATTAATTAAATTATTTATTTATTTATTTATGTAATTATTTATTTATTCATTCATTCACTGATTTACTTATTTGTTAAGTGATTTATTCACTTAATTTATTCATTAACTAATTTCTTTTATGTCATTATTATATTTATTTTTTCATTCATTTATCAATTTATTTTTGGATTTATTTTTATATTTATTTATGTATGCATTTATTTATTTATTCAAATTACTTTTTTTGGTTATTTACTCTCATGCATTCAGTTATTGAGTCATTTATTTAATTTATTTATTATTTATTTATAATAATCATAATCAGTCATTTATTTATGTAATTTATTCATTCATTGACTTATTTATTCATTCATTCATTTAATTATTTATTCAGCTATTTATTTATTTATTTACTACTCCAATCATTCATTTATTTATGCCATTATTTATTTACTCATTAATTAAATTATTTATTCATTTATTTATGTAATTATTTATTTATTTATTCATTCATTGATTTACTTATTTGTTAAGTGATTTATCTTTTTAGTGTTTCTTTTATGTGATTTATTTATTTATGCATTTATTTATTTATTTACATTCTTTTTTTTATTTACTTTCATTAATTCAGTTATTGAGTCATTTACTCAATTTATTCATTATTTATTTATGTAATTTATTCATTCATTGATTTATTTATTCTTTCATTTATTTGCTTAATAATTTATTTAATCATTCATTCACTTATTCATCATTCATTCATCTATTTAGCCATTTATTCATTTCTTTCATTCTAGCCTTCTGATTTATTTATTCATTCATTTATTCATTCGTTCATCCAATTAATAATCTATTAATTCATTCACTTAGTCATCCATTCATTTATTTATTTATTAATTCATTCTCTTATTGATTAATTAATTTATACATTCATTTATTTATTTGTTCATATATTTATATTATTCTACTGTATAAAATGTTTCTTTCTCTCACCATCATCATCCTCATCTTCATCTTCTTCAGAAATCTCCGACAACTCCTCATCTGATTTCTCACCATCTTTCTCCTTCGACAACTTAGCAGAAAAGAAAGCAACTCGAACACCCTCTCCATCAAAATACCTAGCCCATGCTTTTCTTTGCTCGTCAGTCAGAAAATCAGCCTTGTTTACAAGTATCAAATTCATTTTATCATCGCTCACTTCTTTAACATACAATTCTAAATCTTCACAACGAAAGAGTAAAGGATTACGGGCGTCTACTATTTGTACAACTACATCACTGCGTTCAACCACTCTCCATAATTGGCGCCAGAATTCTAGATTCTTTTCATACGGGGTCAAAACTAGGCCTTCGTTGTCTTGTAAGGTTGCTAGATCTCGACGCCACTTTAAGAACTCTTCTCTTTCGTTTTGTTGGAGCTCTTCTGCAGAAGTCTCTGAGGACCATTTCGGCCTGGGGTAATAGAATCACATTAAAATATATATATATATATATATATATATATATATATATATATATATATATATTTCTCACCTTCTAGGAATTCTAAGAAATTGTCTATTCTTCTCTTGCTCTTCAAGAGCCCTAGTTTTATCAGAACCCACAAGTAATCCAACGTTGACTAAATAAATTAATTTTTCATTAGTTATTTAAATTATTTATTAAATGTGACATTTCCAATACGTACTTTTGGGTTCACAAACTTTATATTCAACTTTTCTGCTTGGAATTCTGTTCCGGCTAATTCAGCAGTGCTCAGAAATTCTTGGAATGAAGATTCTTCAGTGACACTTTGAAGATTCAATCGGCCCCAATCATAACCGTCTTGGATTTCAGTCGTATGCAACTGAGGAATGGAAATATACATATATTTTATTTCTTTGGTGATAAAAAGGTTTAAGGTTAAAGATTTTACTCAAAGAAATTAGTGTAAAATAATTATGGAGACTATTAAATTAGAAGGATACTTTGTTGGAAGAGTATTTAACAGAATAAATGTCAAGATTTCATTGTTATTAGAGAATGGGGCCCATCCAGAGGCAAATCAAATGATTTACACACAAAGTTTATGAAATGATACAGATTTACAATAAATGAAAATAATCCAAGTCAAAATATAAGGTATGTAAGTTCTTATTTACTTAGTTGTAACATATTTATAAGAATATTGACACTCAGATAAATACTTTTTTACTCAAGATAAATTTAAAAAAATTAACCTTAAATTTTTAAAAAATATTACACTAAGATTTATATTTAAAATATTTTTTTTATAAACAATATTTACCAAAACACAAACACTTAATTTACAACAATGTAATCACTAAACATTTAAATATCAACAATATATCATTTATTATAAATATTTATATTAAGAACCTAACCATAGAATTATCATCAACAGTTTTTCGTCCTTTACTATGACCAAAACGATCTTTTATCAAAGATCTTCCGAGTCCTACTTTAGATTTCTTCCCCATTTTTATTTTATTAAATTTAATTCAAAATTAAACTGTTGTTTAACATATTATTATTGTAAGAGCATGTGGCGTATTAAACGTGATGACAGTTCATTAAAATTTGAACTGTCAGATAAAGAAATGGCTAAGTTCAGGTGAATGGTATTTTAAATTGCTAAAAGATAAAAGAAATAGTACATATTAGATTTTATATATTGTATTATTTAATTTAAAGTTTATATTAATATATTTAATTTATTTAATTAATAAATTATAAGATTAATTGTATTTTTATCTAATATATAAATTTGAACAATATAACTATAAATTAAAATAAACTGTAGTAGATGTAGTCACTGACAGATGGCAACACTGGTTACGAACTGTCATTTTTTATAATTTTTTGATAACTTGCAAAATGTTTCAACAGAAAATTAGTATTAATTTAATTAAATATAAAATTTTATAACGATTCTTATTTATAATTTGCAGTATTTATAGTTTAAATTTAAAATTTCAAAATGTTCGACAGACTTGAATATTTTCACAGCTAACTTCACAGCATTTTTACACACAAATAAATACACAACCGCATGGTGACCGTTTGTCATTTTCTAACTACTGTGTGTTGATATTTCTCAACAATACTGCGAGGAGCTACTCATTTATAGTGTTTTGTGTTATTGAAATAAAACCATGGCAGAAACTGAATGTACTATCAAACTTGATGAACTGTTAACTGGGGTAAATATTAAAATAATTATATATATATTGAATATTTATACGTTTTGAACATATAAGCATGAATTATAAATTAGGCTTTACCATCATGATTAGTAATCTTAATACCAAATTTGTACTTAAAGATTTTTCTATAATCTTAGCAAGTATCAAAATGATGAACATAAATAACCAACTAATTTGCAATTCAATGAAATATAGCATTTATAAAAGTTTTCTACAATTCGTTGGGTGCTTGATTTCTAGGAATAATACAGTCTTATCATATGTGTATAATTGATAATGACAATCTTTACTTTATCAAATAAATTGACGGATTTCTACACTTTTTATAATATATCTTTACCACATATACTTACTAAATAATTTAATATTATCTGTTTTACACGTGATGTTTGGCGGGGAAGGGAAGGAAATTTTAAATATTGCCAAAGGGTAGGGATAGTCCATAAATCCTTAAAGAATTGATCACGTGATTAATGGACGCCCCCTTAGCAAATCAAATTTTCTCACAAAACCATAAACATCTCCTTCGGGAGATTAAAAATGATCAAATACCACAGATTTAAAGTAAGTTTTTCTTTTACCCCCCAGGTCCAAAATGTTGCAACCCAATCAGACATGTCCAAAGCCGAAAAGCTGCAAAAGATATCTTCGATCATGCACCAAGCAACATCGATCGTCAAGGAACACCACAGTAACATAGAAGTTGTCACCAAAGACGTCGATTTGGTCAGCAATGCCGCCCATGTAATCGGAAACCAAATCGCATGCCTCCAGACAACATCTAATAACTACGACTACAAAAAATTAGCAAACCGATTAAAACCAATTGTAAAGGCCTCTAGTAAACAATGGCTTGAGTTATTTGATCCTTCGATGTTGGGTTTAAAGAGTCCCCCGATCAGCCACAGCATGTTTGCTACTTTCAATCCTGAAAAACCAGTAATAAAAGTGAGGCAGAAACGGCAGAGGACCCAAAGGGATCCCATTGAAATTGAATCTACTTGCCCTGATAGCATAGATAAGGCTGAACAAACCGAAGAAACCTCAGCAATTCTGGAAAAAGTTAAGAGCCAAATCATGAGACTCTTCAAACACAACAGCATGAAGCCCATAAAATATTTCCAAATCGTACTAGATCCTGAAGACTTTGGTAAAACCATTGACAATATTTTTCAAGTGTCATTTTTAGTTCGTGATAGAGCTGTGGAGGTCTTCGAGGAAAATGAAGATTTGTGGTTGAAGCCTGTGGCAAAGTCTGAGACTGATGAACAGAACTTGGGCGATGGACAGCAAGCCATTATGAGCATCGACATGGAGCAGTGGAAAGCCTTGGTGAAAAAATATGATGTGAGGAGGCCTATGATAAATATATCAGATCGGTATGAAGGCAAATGATAATGAATAGTCGAAATTTTACACAAGTGCCATTTGAAGAACTTGGGTTTTAATTAAAAAATGTGTCTAAGGACACCTGAATGTCAGATCCAATAATAATAATAATATTGATTAAATAATATATAATATATTAATAATACATTAATAATTATATTTATAATACTGATTAAATAGTTGAGTCAATAAAGAATTGTCTTCAGAAACATGAACATCAGAAACACAAGTTGAGAATTTTTATGTCAAACATAAAATATGCAAAATAAATGAAATTTAATTGAATAAATTATTATATTTTAATCATTTTCATTGAAAAAAAGGTTTATATATTGAATGGATATATTGAAAAGTTGGATATATTATTTAAAGTTTTATATTAATATATTTAATTTAATTAATTAATGATAAGACAAACTGATTTTTCATCAAATATAAAAATTTAAACTGTCAAGATACAAAAATTGCTAAGTTCAGGTTAATGGATTTTTAAATTATTAAATGATATGAAAAAAATATTGAAAAGCATAATAGTTCAGTGATTTTAATTAAATTTGTGTTGTAAATATATATTATATGTATAAAAGTAATTGTAAAATAACAGACATATCATAAACTTTTATATATTGGATTTATTAGTATTATTTGTAAGGTGTTGTTATGCTTATTTATCTATGGTTGTGCTCCAAACAAAAAATCCAAATTTAAATAGTAAATGAACTGTTTTTTCTAAAATAATGTTTTGGAATTATGTCTTTTGCTTAAGAACATAATTTTATATATGATGAATACAAATTTAATACGTCTAGTTTTTTTTCCAATTTCTTTGTGTATGATGCAATCAGATGTCAGATTTCATGTTTATTCTTAAATTGAATTGAAATCAATTAAAATATGTATAATAACTTTAATATTTTTAATTTAGCTATAATATTATGTTATATGAGTATTATAACAATTTAAATTAGTATTTAATTAATTCTATTATTCAAAATTCATAATTCGCGCTCTTTTCCGTCTTTCAATTGGCCAACAGTTCCACCGACACGTCAACTTCTGTCAAATAAACATCAGTCGTGTTCAATAATTTTTGTTTGTAAAATCTTCATTTATTTATAGTTTTTAATCCTAAATATGAAAATGGACGGAATGGTGTTAGAGCCCACTCTTTACACCGTAAAAGGAATGTGTATTCTAGACAATGACGGAAATCGTATACTTGCAAAATACTACGACAAAAATCTCTTCCCCACAATCAAAGAGCAAAAAGTATTCGAAAAAAATCTCTTTACCAAAACCCACAGAGCAAACGCTGAAATCATAATGCTCGATACACTAACCTGCGTTTACAGAAGCAACGTGGATTTATTTTTCTATGTAATGGGCAGCTCGAATGAGAACGGTTTGATTTTGATGTCTGTATTGAACTGTTTATTCGAGTCTGTGAGTCAGATTCTGAGGAAAAATGTTGAAAAGCGAGCTGTTTTGGAAAGTTTAGACATTGTATTGTTAGCTTTTGATGAGATTTGTGATGGGGGTATTATATTGGACACTGATCCCAGTTCGGTTGTACAACGGGTGGCTTTGAGGACAGAAGATATTCCATTGGGTGAACAAACTGTTGCACAAGTATTACAGTCGGCAAAGGAACAACTGAAGTGGTCTTTGTTGAAATAGCGGGAGGAACATATTAATGTGTAATATATAACTTTTAATGCATTTTGTTTATAATATAAGTATAATAAATTGAGTATAAATATTAGACACAATTTTATTGTAATATATTTATATATAATAAACCTTTTCTGACTTTTAAAGAAATGTTATAAACAAGAAATAAGTTTAAGAAGGAAATTTGTAAGAATTGTGAGTCCAATAGTTTGACTTTAGAAGATAAAACTTAAAACTATAATATTACTAGATGAAAGAAGCGTTTTGGGTTAAGGCAAGTTGCATAAACTTTTATCTTACCAAATAATAGTCTTATGTAGTTTTATTTAAAATTTACAATTACAAGTCAGTTAGGTTAGATTATTCTTACGAATCTTAAGATTTTGTAGTAAAAACAGTTATAATTACATTGGAACGACTGTAAATCTGTTACATTTATATTAAGACTTGTAAATCTTAATGTAAATTTAACTGTTTTTACAATAAATCTTAAGATTGGTGAATTTACCTAAACTAACTGACAGTTGTAAATTTAAATTAAGACTAGAGAAAACTTTGATATGATTTATCTCAGTAAGATGATAAGTGTTAGTTACAACTGTTTCAACTTATTAAATTTAATGTAAATGTATCTGTTTTTACTACAAAATCTTAAGATGGGTGAGTTTAACCTAACGTAACTGACTATTTGTTAATTTAATACTTAATTTAGTAGCAATTTCCTCAAATTCTTAACCAACTATCTTATCAACAACTTTATTGCTAAATGTAATTCTCTATTAAATTTGCCCATAATACTTATATCATTTAACTTTAACTTAATTAACAAATATAACTACATTCATATTACCACACTTAATCCAATAACCTCTATCTGCCCAACTTAATCTTTATATTCCTGTTCAAATATGTTATAGTATTTTATCATTTTATCTTATTTTATATATTTATAAAATCAAATCTGACATTTCAATACAAATATTTAAAATTCCTTTAATCCTACGCCTACTTAAAGATAAATATTCCCATTTTGTTTTTCCAGATTCAAATTTCCCTCCAATCTAGTGCGGCAAAATCTCGAACTAAACAAAAGACGAAGTCGATCGTTAACTCGTGTGTGTGTTCAGTGCGCACACATTCAAAATCGCCATTTTCTCTCCGAATCTCTGCCGGTCGAGAACGTTCTGGAAACGTGCTTTAAAACAATTTGGTTGTGGGCTGTGTAAATTCTAAAGAAAACCATACAAAAAATGGTAAGTTATTTAATAATTAATAATAATAGATTTAAGTAGAAGTATTAATAGTAAGTTTAGGTAGTAGGGTTTTATAAAGGCGTGTAGATTTTGGTTAATAATGTCAGAGGATTGATGCAAGTGGACGTTGGACTTGCGTAATTTTGTAAAGGATACTGGGTAAAGGATTGAGGTGAAGGATTTATTGATTTTTTGGGTTTGTTGAGGCATTGGATATGTTTACAATGTATTTGAGGTATTGTGTGCTTTAATTTGTGTCTAGCTTAAAGTTTCTAGAACTCTAACCTATATCTAGCTTGCTTCTGGTGAGATTCTGATTTTGTTTCTTATTTGCTTCAAAATACCACTTTTTTTTGTCAAATCAATAAAACCATAGTGATATTACGCATAATATTTGTACAGCAAAAAATATAATATAAATTTCGTGGTCTTTGTATTATAACATAAACTTTATGGGTTTTTGGCCACATTTTTTCACACCTATAAGTGTTTTATGAAATTAATTCTCATAATTTCAAAAATATCAAAATTTTACTAATTATTTATTGTTTATTTCAAATGTTTTAATACAACTACAGTATAGTAGTAGTAAAGACCATCGTTTTAAATCTAAGATCTAAGGTTTTGTAATTGAAGTGAGATTTTTATAACAATGATTAATTTATATCAATATTGAGATTAAAATGGTTTATTTCTTCCTGAAGGAAAATAAAACCTATCCAATCGTGTTAAATATGAATTTTAAGATCTTATGATTAACCTATGATTTTTATAACTCATTAATTTATTTTCATCTCTTTTAAAAAATGTATTCGTTAAATGAAATTCAATAATTTTACTAGAAATAAATTTTAGTAAAAAAACACTATAACAAGCTTCTACCATGATTTTCAAATTTCATTCCACAATTTTACCACAAATATTTTGTTTCTGATTTGATTCTTCTAATTTGATTACAGTTTTTCTAATAAGCTTCCTCTCTTTAAGATAAGATAATGAGAATTGAAGTCAGTTAGGTTAGGTTTATTTGCTTAACTTTGTAATGAAAATATTAGATAACATTCAATAATTGTATAATTTTATTTCCAGGCAACTCAAACTGTAGCAAAACGTCTCTTGCCTTTATTGGACCGTGTCTTAGTACAACGTGCTGAGGCTATCACGAAAACCAAGGGAGGCATTGTTATTCCTGAGAAGGCGCAAGCAAAAGTTCTCAAGGGCAGAGTTATTGCAGTTGGACCCGGACAAAGAAACCAAGTAAGATAAAATACATATCAATACATATTGATACTGAAAACAGTTTTTTAAAGCATTCATATGACTACAAATAAAAATAAGTCAGTTAGGTTAGGTCTTTTACTTGACTTCATAAGGCAATTCTTAAATAAAATTAGATGCATTTAAGATACAATTGTAATAAGGACTTAGATTTTTCTAACTTGAATATTTTATCTAATATACTTTCTGATTTTGCTGCTAGTTTATTGTAAAACAAATAATAAAACAGAAGTCAATTAGGTTAGGTTAGATTTTTTATTTGATTAACTGTAAGGTATTTGTTAAATAGAATTAGATGCACTTAAGATACGATTATAATAAGTCACTATGATTTTTCTAATAACTTCTTTTTCTTGACCTGCCAGTTTATTGTAAGAGATTATAAAACCGAAGTCGGTTAAGTTAGGTCTATTGCTTGTTTCACTTTCTAAGGTAATTGTTACATAAAATTAGGTACAGTTAACATACATTTGTGATAATAGTCACTTAGTTTTTTCTTATTTGAATATATTATCTAATGAACTTTCTGATTTTTCTACTAGTTTATTGTAGGACCGATAATAAAACAGAAGTCAGTTAGGTTAGGTCTATTGCACTTCATAAGGGTTTCACTTCATAAGGTAATTGTCGCATAAAATTAGATACAATTAACATACATTTGTAATAAGTCACTGAGATTCTTCTAATTGGATTGTTCAATAAGCTTTTTTCTTGTCCTATCAGTTTATTGTAAGACAGATTATAAAACCAAAGTCAGTTAGGTCTTTTACTTCTTTCACTTCATAAGGTAATTGTTACATAAAATTTAATGCACCTAAGATACAATTGTGATAATAGTCACTTAGATTTTTCTTATTTGAATATATTATTATATAATAAACTTTCTGGTTTTGCAACTAGTTTATTGTAAAGCCAATAATAAAACAGAAGTCAGTTAGGTTAGATCTTGTGCTTGATTCTCTTTCTAAGGTATTTGTTAAATAAAATTAGATACAGTTAAGATACAATTAGTAATAAGTCAGAGATTCTTCTAATTGGATTGTCTAATAACTTTTTTCTTGTTCTATCAGCTTATTGTAAGACAGATTATAAAACCAAAGTCAGTTAGGTCTTTTACTTCTTTCACTTCATAAGGTAATTGTTACATAAAATTAAATACACTTAAGATACGATTATGATAATAATCACTTAGATTTTTCTAATTTAAATCAATTATCTAATAAACTTTCTGATTTTGCAACTAGTTTATTGTAAAGCCAATAATAAAACAGAAGTCAGTTAAGTTAGATCTTGCGTTTGATTCTCTTAAAGTATTTGTTACATAAAACTTGATGCGCTTAAGTAATAAGTCCTTATAATTTTCTAATTTGATTGTCTAATAAGCTTTTTTTTTTGCTCTACTTTTTTATTGTAAAACAGATAATAAAGCCGAAGTCAGTTAGGTTAGGTCTATTCCTATTGCTTAATTTATTTCGTAAGACTTCTTAAATAAGATTTTAGAGACACTTGAAAATGAACTGTAAAAGGTCATTTAAATTATATAAATAGTAAAATTCTTTTATTTTTTACATTTGGACATTGATATGAAATAAAGATTAAAATGTATATTTACAACACGTCAGTTAGGTTAGGTTATGCATACCAAACGTAGAATTTTATAGTAAAAAGTACATTATTTATGTATACATGTCATACATGCCTCGGTACTAGCAAAGTACAGAAGTCGTGGCAGAAATTACATAATTCTACTTACATTTTTGTTCAATAAAACTATCATTTTTCTGTTTGCATCATACAAAAAAATTATATAAAAAATGCATAGTGCTGACAAGTTAGTTGTATAAATGTTAGTGCCAAATCTCTAGTGCTGTGTACACTTCTCTATATGTAACTAACCAACGTAATATCCACTGATGATGACATTAAATTGAATGTCGAAACGTTTGGAAATAAAGATTATTTTATAAATCTTTGGCTTTTCTTTGTTTGATGTATCGCCCTCAAGAACTCACTCATATATATATATATATATATATATATATATATATATATATATATATATATATATTTATTTATTTTTGTTCTAATATTTATTTCCTATGTCCTTTACCCCCAGGCTGGTGAACATGTGCCCTTAGGAATCAAAGTTGGAGACATGGTTTTGCTGCCCGAATACGGAGGCACCAAAGTTGAGCTCGAAGAGAACAAAGAATTCCACTTATTCAAAGAATCCGACATCCTTGCCAAGTTGGATATCGACGAATAAATTGCCAAAAATTTACCATCTTATCACAATATACCACAATCAAAGCTGACATCCGAAGCTGTTTGCTATATTAGTAAAAGTTAGGCAATTGTTTTTTACATTGTGGTATCTCTATTAAGACTTTCCATAGATTTATTGTAAATAAAAATTATAGTTTTTTTGGTATAAAGTTTATGTATGACAAAAGATGAAAATCACCCAGAGAATGTAAGATGCATTGTTACCAAATTGTTTGTTATATATCACAACATATACGTGTTCAGATGAATTTAGTTATAAATTAGACTAGTCTTGAGTTTTTACAGAAATAAAATAGTAAAAACAGTATTTAGGTATTTTAAATCAATACTTTTAGATTACAGAAATAATACAGAAGTAAGGAAATAATATAGATATTTCTTTAGCTGAAAATCGAAAATAAATTTTTTTTCCATTTCTCGACGTTTTGAAGGTTTCTGAACATTTTTAAGGGGCATACCCCAGAAACTAAATGGATGTGTGTGTTTTGTATGTCCGCATTTTTTGTCCACGTTTTCGGGCGCACGGATCAACCGATTTGAATGGTTTAAAAAACATTCGATTCCTATTGATAAAGAGATGTGCTAATTAGTTTTTGGCAAAGGCAGGTCCAGCCTTTACGGAGTTACGGAGCAAAGAGTGCAGAAAATAGAAATCGAGTTTTTGAGAGAACGGATGATCCGATTTGTATGATCCAAAAAATATTCAGTTCGTAATGACGGGGAAAAGTGGTTATTAGCTTTTGGCAAAGGTAGGCCCAGCGGTTTCGGAGATACAGAGCGAAATGTAAAAAAATGGCAGTTTTTGGGAGAACTAAGCGTCCGATTTAAATGATTCAAAGACACTTCTGCTTGTTTCAACAAAATAATTTCAAAAAATATTTTTGTAATTTTGGTTTAAAAATTCAAAAAATCACCCAGGCTAAGCACAGTCTAAGCGCCACTCTGGTGCAATTGTTTACCCAAGTGCGTTTAGACTGTTTATGTACTGGAGCGCTTTTCCAATTTTGTGAAAACTATTGAAAAATGTGAAAATGCTGCCAAGCTAAGCACAGTATAAGTGAAAATGTCTCACCAAATTATTTGCAAATGCCTTTAGACTGTGACTATACGGGAGCACTTTTTCAATTTTGTGTAAATTAAGCAACTATTTTTTTGTCTAAAAATGCTGGAAATTAAAAATGTTGTGTATTATCAAAAAATGCTGTAAACTATTTGAAAATTGTGCAAATTGCTCAAGAATGCTGTTGGTAGTTTGAAAATGTCTAAAAGTGTTGTATTTAGTATGAAAATTGTCTGAAAATGTTGTAGCAAATCTGAAAACATTATTTAGAGGGCCATAATAATTAATTTTCTTTCCCTTTAAGTTCTCATATTTGAAGACTTTCTGTTGAAGACTAATTTCAGGTGAGTTTACATAAAAAATATTAAATGAAAACTACAAATATTTATTATTTAATTATTCTACAACTACACATCTATAAGTCTACAATTTATCTTTAATCATTCCTCTAGTTATAACACCATCAAGTTCAGACAACCGAGTCACACCTTCAAGACCATCAGCACGAGCTCGTTCTTGAGCTATTCTAATGAGCGATTCAAACGTCCTTGGTTCCCATATCGCTAAATCTGACAATACACGCCTGGAAAAACCATCATCGGTAAGATAATAGAACTATTATAAATAATTTATATATAATACCTGTTTAGTTGTATATCACATCTATTCAAACCCTCATAAAAAGTATGATATTCTATTCCATACTGCTGACAAGCCCCACGAAGTCTAGTCTCCCACAACTAAAAACACACAGTAAACAAATATTTCTAAATTGATTTCACCAAGTTTTATACCTCTGCCATGTCTTGTTTCTTCAATTTTCTACCTTTAGTAGCATATACTAGGGCTCTGTGTACCATTTTGATTGCAATTGAGTAACAGTTACGTCTACGGCCGATGTAATGCTAAAGGTAATAAATATATGTGTAAAAATATAGCCATTGCTTGTAATTTGTGTAAGGGATAAGAGTTTTACCGCAGCTAGTTTGAAAATCTTGCGTTTTCTCCAGAATTCATCGGGGCCTCTTGCTCTGACCATAAGTGCTAGGGTTGTAAAAACCATATTGACCTGGGTAAATGAAATATGGTAATGTAAATTGTGTAATAGTTAAATGATTGTAATAACAGGATAATTCATAGTTTTATAGTATTTAATACAAATGAAGCCTAATTGCAATTCAATGCATGTACACATAAAATGCATGTTTTATTATATTTTCTATATACGTGGACTTTTAATTCATTACCAAACTAAATAACAATAAAATTAACAAACCTTATTATAAACTTTATATTAATATTATTATTTTTTTATGAAAATTATGTTTTGTAACAATTAGGTTAAACAATTTTGAGGTTAGCCTAGAATGTCAAGCAGTACTAACTTCATGCTAGTTTTTGACAGTTGAAGTTGAAGCTGTCAAGTTTTTTTAAAATTTAATACAGTTTTCTGAAAATAACATTTAAATCGTACATATATTATTTAATAAGATATTTTCTATCCATATTTATGTGATTCTTGTTAGTTTCCTAAGCTTAATATTTTGTATTGGGCGTCCAGAAAAATTGATATTCTTTCTTCCAACTTCATTGCTGTTTTGACAGTTTTCAGTTTTCAGTTTTGACAGCTAAACATGCATCTGACAATTGCACAAACGTCATTGTCAGATTTATACAATTGCGTCGCATTTGCAAATGCAAATTTATCAAAAACTTTCGGTAATTAACATGTAGTTATTACACAATTTACCACATATCTTATTCCATAAAAACGTGTATATTACATAACTCGACCTTGTGCAAATACCCCTTTAACAAACATGAGTTGTTTCTAAAACAGGTCTAGCCTCAGATGACAAACAATAAATATGCCTTATCGCATAATAAGACAGTTGTTCAGAAATGGTCGATACATATTCCAAACAATCTACAACAAACAAAACGTCAAAATTTTGGATATAGTTCCTAAGCCGAAGGACGCATATAGTGCGATTGAAAAACAATCCTTTACGAACTACGAGGGCTTGCGAAATGTCGGATGTCAAATTGGATTGCAGGCCAGGAAGCTATTTGTCGATAATGTACTTAATAGAGTTACGAACTCTCTTGCATCCGATCTGAGGAGAAAGGCTACTAAGAGGTAAGGGTTAAATGACACATAATACTAAGCCATCACTTTCGACAATAAGTCTTTGCAGTGAGAGAAAACTTTTATCACGTAATGTTTTTTTTGTTTGGTAGATTATTTTATGGTGATTCCCGTCCATTTTTTGCCTTGGTTGGCGTGTCTTTAGCTTCAGGGTCAGGTCTTCTGACAAAAGATGATGAACTCGAAGGAGTTTGCTGGGAGATCAGGGTAAGTGCATCATAAAGTTACTATTTTTCTTAGTTAACACACTCAGAGTGTTTAGCTAAACAGACCAAAAGCGATATGTGTAGCAGGCAAAAAAATCAGAAATTAAATTTAAATTTCTATTTGAATGCAATATATCCAATACAAAATTAACAAAAGGACTTGTACAATACAGTCAAAATATAAAATTGACTATTTTATGCTATGACAACTTATTTTATTTAAAATTTTACACATAAGCATTTTTTACATCTAACTGTTATTACCATATTTTAGTAAATATTATCTAGTGTTTATTAATACAAATAAGTTATAATGTAAACAAATTATAATGTCCCAAACGAAAATTAAAAGTTATTTGAGAAAACAAAAATAACTAGTGGGGTGGGTGACATTGTGCCTTAAGGCAAATTGCTGGAACTTACCGTACCGTAACGAAATGTTCAAGGAATATTGAATGTTTTCAAATAGATTATTATAAATATTGTAACATTGTCTAATACTTATAAGAATTATATAAACTGAATTGTAAAGTTAAAATTATTTGTTTAAAGTATATTAGAACTATAGTTAGAATTAAAAATAAAATCTGAATTATTTTCGATATACAAAAAATTAAAAGAAAATGGAACAAAATTTTTTTTTCCAAAATCAATTATTTTGTTAAGACAAGCAGAAAGTTCTTTGAATCAATTGAATCGGACGCTTAGTTCTCTCAAAAACTGCCATTTTTTGTACATTTAGCTCTGTATCTCCGAAATGGCTGGGCCTGCCTTTGCAAAAAACTAACAACCCCTTCTCCCAATCATTACTAATCGAATGTTTTTTAGATCATTCAAATCGGATGCTCCGTTCTCTCAAAAACTCGATTTCTATTTTCTGCACTCTTTGCTCCTTATCTCCGTAACTGCTGGACCTGCCTTTGCCAAAAACTAATCAGCACCAATAGGAATCGAATGTTTTTTAAACCATTCACATCGGTTGATCCGTACGCCCGAAAACGTGGGCGAAAATTTGTATCCATACATATATACATACATACACACACACACACACATCCATTTTTTCTGAAGTATGCCAAAATGTTCAGAAACCTTCGAAACGTCGAGAAATGTAAAAAATTTCAATTCCGATTTTCGGCCCATTACAATAACTTACCCTACGGGAAGTTAAAAAATCCTAAATCTGTATATTGCGAGTTATGGAAATACTAAAGTCCACATTTCAACTACGAATTATTCAAAATTTCAATATGCAAGTGCATGTAACAGTTTTTACTAGATTTTAGTAAATTATATTTAGTTTTTACTAATGTAAACAAAATATAATGTCCGGAACGAAAATTAAAAGTTATTTAATAAAAAGTAAAAAAATGTGCTGTCTGCATTTCAACGACAATTTATTCAAAATTTTAAAATCTAGGTGTAAATTACTAAATTTTAGTAAATTTTATCTAGTTTTTACTTATGTACATAAAACAAAGTGTCCCAGGCAAAGTTTTTAAGGTATTCCAAGAAATGTAAAAAAAAATGCCCGAAATTTACACATTGCAAAATATATCACCAGTAAATAAATATTTCAAGAGTTTGATTCAAAATTCTATGTAAGAGTGTACAACAGTTTTTAATAGATTTTAGTGAATTTTATCTAGTTTTTACTAATGTATACAAATTAAAATATCCAGAATGAAAATTTTGTGTTGTTTTAAAAAATCTAAAAAATGTCCTAAAGTCACATCTTAAAATACTAAAATAAACGACAAAAATCTAAATCAATTATCTATAAACAAAATCTGCCAGCTAACTCTTTCAATATCATATGCAAACCGATTTCAAAGTTAAAGGGGTAAAAATACCCTCAACATTTGTATTGACGGGTATTTTTACCCGCCCCTCTTATAGTGTCAATATATCTTCTATATATATAAAAATAAGTCGGGTTTTCTTTCCTGATCAAATTTTTCCTTTTCAAATATAAAATAAACAGAAAATTACTTCATCTTTCTCACGAAACCATCTGGTGGCGAAACGGAGTTCGTCGGGTTTGCTAGTTATATATATTTTCTTATTACATAAATATTTTCTTTAGGAAGCAGTTGCAAAACTGCGTTGGAACTACACAGATCAATACACAATGCCAAAAGATGATATCAATTTGGACGACTTGGTAATTGGACCACCGATTGCAAAAGGATGCTCAGCCGTAGTCTACTCTGCTAAATATAAAACACCTGTTAACAATGGCTTTGAAACATCACAAAACATAATAGAAAATGATGTCTCCATGGCAGCATCTATAATTTCAGACAACGGTAATAAATAACCAACCTAGTCATTAAATTTTTTTTTACTACAATTAGTTTTATTACTTTTTAGGTAGTGATGCAGCATCCCAAACCTTATCACCCTTCAGAGACATGAGACTTTTACGTTGTCGCAATGATTCATACAGAAACTCAGTCCCCAATATTAATTTTCACACATATCGCAGAAATTCTGTGGATATTTTAGTGGATGATGAGAATAAGAATGATGCGTGCAATGAGTCTGAAGATTCGATTTCTGTGATTAATTCTGATGACAGTTTTGAAGTTTTAAGAAGTCCTGCAAATGAGAAGGTTTATGCAGTTGATGATATGGGTAGTTTGGCTGATTATCCGATTGCTGTTAAGATGATGTTTAATTATGATATACAGTCGTGTGCTACGGCTATTTTTAAAGCTATGCAGAGGGAGATTTTGCCTGCTAGGAAGAAGTGCAGGGAACTGGAAGAGTAAGTAAAAAAGATATATATATATATATATATATATATATTAACAAAGTCTAATAATCGGGCATAACATCAATAAAAAACATGAATTTCTTTCAAAAATTTATTCTAAATCCATACGTTTCGGCTATAATCTAGTGGAAACTAAAAATAAAATTGAATTGGAGTAAAAAGAACAAATAAAATAGTAAATAGTACTTACAATTTGTTAATCTTAGTGTTAAATTGGAAAATTTTAATAATCCATGGTATCAGGATATGGTAATGCACTACACTATGTATTATAAACATTAAACTTGTAATTACACAATATTTTCACAAAATACTAATTTGAAAAAATCACAAATGGATAGTGTGTTATTCGTAGACTGGTTGAAGATGTAATGGAGAAAGACATTTTTTAAAAAATATGTTTACCAAGATTCTACACATGTGTGGAACAAGTGGAACGAATTGCGAATACTTTGCGCAAACGCTTTTATTGTTTTGTAAGAAATTTGGAAATATTATCTAAATAGAAGAGATTTGTGTCGCACAGCGTGTTGAGTTCATTCTGTTTATTTATTGTCTTATTGTTATAAATAGTTAAAAAAGATCCCTCTATAATTCTTCATTTAAATAAATTTTGTTCGAATTGTAGTACAGTCGGATTATAAAAGTCCATATTGTGTTTTAAAGTGTATATATGGTCTGCAAGTACAGTTTTGAATTGTTTAGGGTTTTTTGAATTGTTTTTATGTTGTTGTAACCGTTTATTGAGGTTCTGGCTAGTTTCTCCTATGTAAATTAAATTACAGTCTAAACATTTTATTTGATAGACGAGATTTCTGAGTCGTTCGATATTAAATGGGGTTTTTGTTTTGGTGAAAATAGTGCTAGTAGTTGTACTAAAATTGGTTACAAGTCGGAGTCCAGATTCATAAAAAAGTTTTTTCCAAGGAACATACAATTCTTCAATGTATGGCAAACATATTACACCAGAATGGTCATTAAATCATTTTTCACAATCGTTAATTAATTACTCATTCGAAAATTTATATATTGTTCAATTTAAAATGACAAGGATTGGTTTTTTGGTGCATTGTGAACATTTATAATATGAAATAATTAGGATTAATTCAATTACATGTAAGTTCATACCATATCACTTCTTATATATTAGTTTTATTTAATAATTTCTATCTGTTCTTTCAATCTAGAGTCCACTGAAGATGACACAAAACAATGTGTCGAAACGTATGGAAAAAATAAAAATGTTTTAAAGTTCATACAAAAGTTTTTAATTGATGTATTGCCCTGAAAACTGAATATCACATATTTCAACATCAAAATTATATATAAAAAATTTAATATATATATATATATATATATATATATATATTTCTTGTGTTTATTTTTCAGTGGTTGGGAACAATCAACGTTACCTCCTCATCCGAATATTGTTCTGATGTACAGTGTATTTGCTGATAGAATTCCAACTGGTTTACCATTAGCAGCCACTTTGTTTCCATCAGCTTTACCACAAAGAATTAACAGTGATGGTTATGGTAGAAATATGTCTTTGTTTCTGTTAATGAAGAGGTAATACATTTAAATTACAAATTTAATAAAAATAGTATGTTTATATCAATATTTTTATTTTTTAGATACGATTGCAGTCTTCATGATTATCTTAGTAGTAATAAAATATCAATGAGGACGTCCATAATTTTGTTTGCTCAACTTTTGGAAGCAATTGCCCATTTATCAGCTTATGGAATTGCACATAGGTAAGAAAATTATATATATATATATATATATATATATATATAAATTTTTACTTCAACCTTTCTAACGGTGTATAACACTGTACATGTTTTCTTTAGAGAAATATTGAATAGTGTGGATAGTTGCGTAAACAGTTTGACTATCTTAATGGATTCTTGAGCAATATTGAAAATATCATTTTTAGTGTTCCTCAGGGTCCATTCTTGGTCCACTACTATTTATTATTTTTATTAATGACATATCTGAAATTATTAGCTGTCCACATTTATTATTTGCAGATGATCTGAAACTATATCTCAAAATAAATTCTATTGATGACTGCTTATTATTACAGTCTCAACTTGACTCTTTCCACTCTTAGTGTGTCTATAACAAACTACATTTAAATATATCAAAGTGCAAGATTCTTAGTTTTTCACATAAGCGCGTTGCAATACATTTTGATTATAAAATTTCTAACACCAGCATTGATAGATGTAATAAAATTTCAGATTTAGGTTTTTTATTTGATTCTGGTTTGTTTTTCATTGATCATATAACTGATGTTTGTAATAGAGCACATAAATCTTTAGGTTTGATACTGAGAAATTGTAAATGCACTTCTTTGCATGTACTATTCTTATGTACATTCAAAATTAGAATATTGTTCGATTATTTGGTATCCTCATTAAATCAACAACTCTGATGCGATAGAGAAGGTTCAGCGAAAATTTTTGAAATATCTTTATTATAAAACATATAAAATTTACCCTGAACGTGGCTTTGACCACAACACTTCACTAAAAGAATTTGGTATTTCTACTCTTGCCTCACGTCGATTTATCTGTACAATTATGTTCTTATTTAAACTTTGCAATAATTCTATAGACTGTCCTATTATTCTTAACCAACTATCCTTTAATGTTCCAAGGCTATCTACGCGTTCACAATTATTTTTTAATTATCCTACTCCTAAATCTAATTCTCTCTTAAATTTGCCTATTTTATTTATGTCTTTCAACTTTAACTTAATTAATAATGAAATAGATATTCACAACACTTCATCTAATAATCGAATAATCTCCATCTGCACAAGTTAACCTTTTTATTTTCTTTTCAAATATCTCATTTTTTATCTTATTCTGTTTATAAATAATATTGTTACATTCTGCATTACTTGTAATTTTATGTTGAGCATTTTATGTTAATAACTATATATTGTAATTTTGTATATATTTCAATTGTTATTCATTTTGTAAAATAATTGTATTTTTGAGTCCTCTTGGAAGAAATCTGTGGGCTATATATTTAAAATAAATAAAAATAAATAAATAAAACCTAACCACAATTTGCATTTCAACATTTGAATATTCACACAAATTCTATACTACAGGCTAAACCGTTATATATAATTTTTGTTATTAAAGTATAAAATTGTGTCTTGTTAACATTTTAGAGATCTGAAATCAGATAATATATTACTGGAGTTAAGCGATGATGACAGTGTACCTCCTTCATTAGTTTTGAGCGATTTTGGATGTTGTCTTGCTGATCCCAAAAGGGGTTTCTTATTGCCGTACAACTCTAATGAAATTGATAAAGGTAAGAGGGAATAATTGACTATATACATCATGCAATTGAATTTATAATATATATATATATATATATATATTTTATATAAATATATATATGTATTTATTTATATTTATTTTCAGGTGGTAATATAGCGCTTATGGCTCCAGAAGTTATAACACAAACGCCTAGCTCCTTTTCTGTCATTAATTACAGTAAAGCTGATCTTTGGTCTTGCGGTAAGAACCTTAAACACACACACACACACACACATATATATTCATTTATTTATTTTGTAGGTACAATTGCTTATGAAATTTTTGGCTCTACAAATCCATTTTACGCACGAGACGTCCCTATTGAAAAGAGATTAAGAAATGTAACTTATCGTGATGAAGATTTGCCTGCAATTGAGAACGAATCAATTCCTGAGATTATACGAGCTCTTGTTGAGAATATATTGAGGCGAGAACCTAGCAAGGTAAATAACAAATAATAAATGTTTTATGTAGTTATGAATTTATATTATTTTCATGTAAATTCTATCCTTTGCTCTCTTATTTATTTAAATTTATGTTATTATTTATCAATATTACTAGATGTTAATTATTTAACAGTTGTAATAATTATTGAAATTAAAAAAAAAAAAAAATGTAGTTATGAATTTACCAATGTTTAAATTATTTTGTAGCGATTGTCGCCATCGAATGCTGCAACTGTAATGCAGCTATTTTTGTGGGCTCCTTCTAACTGGCTTAAGAATAAAGTTGTTCCTAACAGCACCGAGGTAAATATCTAGTAATATATATATATATATATAATGTATATATATATATATATATATATATATATACATATATTATGATTTTTGTTTACAGATTCTCCAGTGGCTCTTATGTCTAACAACCAAAATCCTGTGCGAAGCAAGAATCGGTCAAAACTTACCATCTAGTTCCAAAATTCCCAGAAGGGAATCCACATCAACCTTCAACGAAAATACTACAAACAGTACAGGTAGACGAACCTTACCTGAATACGTTTTAATATCAAGTTTCCTATCACGAGCAAAATTGCATGAAATCAAAAGATCACTTGAATGGATTCACAACTTGTAATAATTAGTCAAAGATTTGTGCTTAATTTGTAAATTGAATTTATCTTTATTTATTTAAAATATATTAGATTTAATAATGAATAATAAAGTTCATTATATGCAGCCATTAATATGGTGATTTTAATTTGAAAAAGTGTATAAGCCATGCACGTAATAAGAATAGAAAAAAGACTGCACTAATGGGGCTGTTTTATTATTTAATTACAGAAAAGGATTTTATCTCTATAATATAATTAATATTTTAATAAGTAATTAAATTGCTTGTGATAGATACTTATATGTATACTGATATAAATATATAATATATATTTAAATGGATTTTTTTTTATTTTTGTTGAGTAAATTTTTAATTAAAAACTTTATTGTTAATTTGCCTGATTTATTTGATACAAAAATTGAAAAAATATATATTAGAGCTCAATTACTTTTTCATTAACTTGTATATAATAATAAGATTCAAGTTATTGATCAATAATGAAAGACATAGAAAATTATTCAGAATAGAAATATTTACAAAATACATAAATTTTGGTGCTCCATACTTTTATTGCTAATTTTTCTCTGAAGATTGCAATAATGATGTTTAATTTTAAGTACTTTAATTTTACTTAACAAAAATAAGCAAAAGCAAGTTCACATATTTAAATATTTCTATGTACAAACTAATTTGAATTTCCCGCCATGTACCAAACATTTGTTACCAAGTTAACCCCATTCACCAAACTTTTACGTCACCATGGCAACCCCTTTTACCGCGTGGTCCAACAAGTGTCAAACTTGCTCTTAGAAAGTGATTAAATTTAGTGAATTTATTTCGTTAAAAATCTATTGTTAAAGTGGTCATCAAAATGTTATTTGTATGTTAATATAAAGTTAAAAATGCATAGATTTTTATTGTGCAAGAAGTTTAAACTGTCGTTAAGTATTTATTGTGCAAAAACAGTTTTTATGTGGAAATGTCCTGTAGCAAATTACTGGCGTGCCGGGTGTAAAAATGGCGTTAAATAAAGGTTAGTGTTAAATTTTATTATAGTTTTATATGTATATATATATATATATATATATACATGTTACTTGTTTTATATTATTTATTAATATATACCCACATGGTATAATTTTTGTCCTTAAAAATGACAAAAGTATAATTCTCACGTGACTCTTGTAGGAATCTACTACAATAGAAATGCTTGGGTCTAAATAATTTTATTTCTCTTTAAAATAAATATGTAGCCATATGATAAAAGTTTTTGGATGTTCTAAACTGCTTTTATTTTTAATCTGCGTCATTTTAATTATTTTCGTAAAAGAAAGTGGTACTTGAACAGGGTGTCCCAGAACTCAACGTCAAGCCGAAACAGGGTGATAGTACTGATCCTAACTACCATTAAAAATTTAGAATTTTTTTTTATGTGATTTAAAATTTATGAGCTTTTAAGTGCTACCTAGAGCATTTGTAAAATTATGACTAATTTTTTTATTTTTGTGGTTAATTTTATTATTTTTTTTTATTTTTGTGGTTAATTTTTACTAATTTTGTTCATTCAAACTTTGAAACCGTAACCGTGAATAACATTTCTAGGACCACAGTCAAAAATATTGACAAAATTGTCTCAAGTTTTCAAGAATTAAGACTTTTTGTTGAACTATAAACTTTTTTCGACTTTGAGAGGCCCCCCTTTAAAAAAATGTACTGAAGTCTTTTGGCAGGTTTTATCAAAATCTGGCACATTTAATCAGGATTGTAAAATACTTGATTAAATACTTGATTCTTTTATAATAGGATAATCGAGGGGAAAAATAAAAACTTAAAAATAACACTATCGAGGGGAAAAATAAAAACTTAAAAATAACACTTTAGACTTCTAGTGCATTTTAGTCACAATAATATATTGTTGAGTTCTGGCACACCCTGTATAATTATTCTATGTAGTATATATGCTATTTATACAAAATGAAATTCTGAATATTCTAAACTGCAACGAATATTTTAACAACCGTAAAACATTTATTTGTATCAAAAATAAATAACCCGTACAAAATTCTTATACGATTCTTGTTAGAATCCTGTGCAATTAAAATTTTAATTCGTCGATATTTTGTACAATTTTATTAATAATTTTAATTATATTTTTGAATTTGATTCTCATACAAATGTACAGCTTTTTAATTTTTTAATATTACATTTTGTACACTTGTTAACTTCCCTTAGGGTAAGTTATTGTAATGGGCCGAAAATCGGAATTGAAAATTTTTACATTTCTCGACGTTTTGAAGGTTTCTGAACGTTTTGGCATACCTCAGAAAAAATGGATGTGTGTGTGTGTGTATGTATGTATGGATACAAATTTCCAGTCACGTTTTCGGGCGCACGGATCAATCGATTTGAATGGTTCAAAAAACATTCGATTCCTATTGATAGGGAAAAGAGCTGATTAGTTTTTGGCAAAGGCAGGTCCAGCCGTTTCGGAGATACGGAGCAAAGAGTGCAAAAAATAGAAATCGACTTTTTGAGAGAACGGAGTATCCGATTTGGATGATCTAAAAAACATTCAATTAGTAATGATTGGGAGAAGTGTTTACTAGTTTTTGGCAAAGGCAGGCCCAGCCATTTCGAAGATACGGAGCTAAATATGTAAAAAATGGCAGTTTTTGAGAGAACTAAGCGTCCGATTTAAATGATTCAAAGAACTTTCTGCTTGTCTTAACAAAATAATTGATTTTGGAAAAAAATTTGTTTCACCTTTTTTTTTTGTCGAAAATAATCCAGATTTTATTTCTGACTATAGTTCTAATATACTTTAAACAAATAATTTCAACTTTTCAATTCAGTTCATATAATTCTAATAAATATTAGGCAATGTTACAATATTTATAATAATCTATTTGAAAATATTCAGTATTCCTCGAACATTTCGTTACGGTACGGGAAGTTCCAGCAATTTGCCTTAAGGCACGATGCCATAATTGCCTCAAGACAGAATTCCACTTACAGCTAGTTTAAAATTTTATTTCTAACTTACACACTTACTTAGTTTTATGTCCAGATTTTGTGTTATAAGTGCTGATATTTTGCGTTAAATTGCAATTTTTTAATTTTGCGCAATAATTTAATAACTATTAAATTGAAACTAGTAAGATCAACAAATTATTTTCTTGCTGTTTTTTAACCGGTTCTGTTGAGTAAAGTCAGAAACGAATAGGACACTTTAATAAGCTGAAAAAATACATATACTATTATACAAAATATTTGTATTAAACATTATATATATATTGTAAATAATTATTACCGCCAAAAAAGATTCGTGTGACAAATTATAAATATTCCCCGCCGTCATTATAACCGGACGTTGTGCTCGCAAAATGATCAACTTCAAAGACTTTTGGTCCTCCGGGTCTTTTAATTGATACCATTGGGTGAAATAAGCTGCTCTTGCTACATCTGCACTCTTAAAAAAAATAATAAGACACATATAATTAAAGTTATATTATTATGAATAAATCATTAATAGTAATGAGAACTTTTAAAAGTCCTAATGGCTTAGTAGTATCTTTTGGTAAAAACGTGGATTTTGCTTTGTAGAATTTAACCCAGGCTTCTACTAGAAGGCCTATGTTAAATATATTTCACTATAATAGAACAAACCTAAGACTAATGATATAATTTTTTGTTTCCTTTAAATAGAAATTAATATAGTGATATATATATATATATATATA